ATCTCCCACTTCCAAAATATCCTATTTAGAGCAAAATACTTTCACTTTCTTTCTCTCAATAAATATATTCTGCTCTTCAACTCTGTTGTTTCTAAAATTCATTCTTGCACTTTAGAGAACACAAACTCATACCAGACATAGAAGGTCAGGAATTTCATTCCACTTTATCAAGGTATGGCTGCCTGTATTTCTAACTAACTCAGCTGCCTGTAACTTTAAGAATTGTTTATCAATTTGACTTGGAGTAATTGTATCAAATAAAATGGTCTTAATGGATATAGGGGATATATCATTAAATTGAAAAAATGATTATCACAGTTTTTCTACCTAGCATTAGCCAACATGTTCAACTTTCAAGTATGTGGGAAAACAAAAAATAAAACCAACTCAGAAGGGGACAGTACATCATTCACTGTAATTGCCATGTTATCTGCAGGTATTTCGTAGACCAGAAAAGAAACATTAAGTCTATTAATTAACAAGTATCAGTTTCAATAAATGTGTTCATAGCACTGCATCATTGACAACTGTGAATTTTTTTTTTGTATGAAGGATTGAACTCATAACCTTGTGCTCTCCAGGCAGCTCCTTGTATCACTGAGCTCAATCCCCAGCCCCAACAACTTTAGATACTAAATATGACCATTAACAATGTTTAATTTGCCATTGACATATTTAGTGATAAATTTTGTAAACCTACATTTCCACAAATGAAATTTCTTTGTGGTTTAAATTACTTTTTTTTTAGGTACCAGGGATCAAAGTTACAATCTAGCACTTTCCAGGCAGGTGTTTCTGCCTGCTGAGCTAAATCCCTGGCGTGTATTAATAAATATTTCACTTTATTCATTCAAATAGTACTGTGATTTTAGCAAAGGATGTCCATGTAGACAGAAATTGATATAGAATCAGAGAGGAACTGGAACCTCAAAGAGACAATGCAAAAAACTAAATACAACAATCGCTGCTACAGAAACAGCTGAAAAATGCCAGACCTGAAGGTGAAGATGCAGTGACCATGTCTACATGCCTCCTGAAGAGAAAAACAACAGCTTGAAATGTACTAAAGATACCATCACCTCCTCCAGGAAGTTTAGATGGGCATCAATTACCATACTCAATGACCAGATCAATTGGACTATTGTTCCCACAAAATGCCTTGGCTCTTTCCACATACCTTTTCTGGCTGACTTGTTCCCCTGATGAATAATATTAGTTAAGCAGCTATAAGCTTATAGGTTGATTGTAGTTTGAGACCCACACTGTACCCACATTGTGACTTTCCTTTTTAAATGACCCCTGACAAATTACTGTGGCCAAAACACTGAAGACCATTCCTGAAAATTCAGGGCTATTCTTCTTTCTTTTTTTCTAAGAAAATTTTTGAACTTCTTTTGGTTTATGACTTCATTTCTCAATGTTGTGAGCCATTAAACTTGATGCATTTGAGATCAAACAGGGCAGGATTATATTTCTCTTATCTCAATTTATTAATATGAAATGTCTGCTAAAGGCATTGTTCCAAAGCCAGAATTTCAGGCTGCTTGTTTGCCCTGAGTTTAACATTTCCATGAGCTTTTAGAAATCCTCAGTCTAGTTAACTGCAAATGTAATGGAGGAAGGAGGTCACTGTTGTCCTGTAGCACAATACGTGCCATTCCTAAGTCTGTGTTAGTCCCTGCCTCCTGGATGCTACTACATGGCCTTCTTTCCTCTGCAGCATCATTCAATAATTCCCATTTTACATAAGTCAAATTTCACTCAGCTCTATTATTGTTTGTTTTCAATAGTCTTTCTGTCTACTTGGTTGCTTTTTTTTTTCATTTTAGTTTTTTGATTTAAAGACATAGTCTCATTTTGGAGTTCTGGCCAGCCTTGCACTCACTATGTAGGTTAGGCTGTCCTTGAATACATGCCATTCTCCTCTTTCAGCTTCTTCATTGCTGGGGAAAAGAGATGGGCATTATAGCACATGGCATTTGTCTTTTTTCTCCTCTCCTTTTTACTACTATTCTTTCATTTCAGGGACACTGTCATTTATTCCTGAGGTTTGCTTGTGTCAGTAAAGGTTTCTGCAGCTTGAGGTGAGTTTGTAAACAATAATATAGGAAGCCAAGCAACCCAACTGAGAAATGTGGAATTTCATTACCAGGTCTCAGGACCACTTGTATACAGAACCCCTACCCCCATTTCAGGATCTAAACAAGAGGCTCTGAACTGGAAAGTTAGAGATGTTTTAAAAGATAAAATCACAAAAAGATCCTGTTGGAAATCATTTAGCTAGAATCTTATAAAAATTTTTGAATGACAGCTGTATTCTGCTTCTTTTGTTGAGCAGGTTAATTTTTTTCTTTGGGTACAGCTCATGTTGCTTTTCTTCTGGGACTTATACCCTGTGTGTTTTTCCATTTTTTTGACTGAAATACAGGGCACTAGTTAAATGCAAAGCTCAAGGTGGCATCTATTATGCCAAGTTACAATAGAGCTAAGTTAAAAGGCTCAATATTTTCTAGGGTAAAAACACACATATCTATAATATGCCAGTCTCAAGACGCTGAGACAGGAGTGTTGCTTTGCGGTTAGGGCAATTCTGCATTCCATAAAGGGTTCAAATCTAGCCGATATACATAGAGAAAACTTGTCTCAATAAAACAAAACTAAACTACACAAATAAAACTGAACAAAACAGCTGAATGGAGACTGATTTCTTCAAATCTTAATTCCACATCTTGGGGATTAATTTTTGTATATAACACATTTTTTGAGACAGCAAATTTAATGCTCTATTGCAACTCACAGCTAATGTAACAGCCAAATGCACTGTCTCTACAGCAGAGCTCATAGTGAGAGCCTGCAGGACCAGCATCCATAAAGCACAGAGGCAGACAAATATCTCATGAATCACTTTGATGTACTAACAATGATATCTCTTCAGATCTCATTTAGGCCACTGAGTCCTTTGTTCTTAATATACTTAAGGATACTTCATATACTTAATATACTTATTTAAATTTGGTTTCATAGAACAAAACATAAATAACATCAAATATGATACATAAATAATAACTCAAATGTTCATGGAAAACTGCTGTATGTAAAAAATATATAAACAATGAAACCAGGTACAAGTTCAAATTATAGCTCAGTGTCACCAAGTGATCACTCTCCATTCAGATATAAGAAATATATCTTGGGAGGCTGATGCAGGAGAACTTCCTTGAGTTTGGGGCTAGCGTAAGTTACAGAGCTGTCTGAAATATAGAAACCCCGACTGAGACACCCCACAGACAATGTGAAACTTGGAAAGTGACTGCGTACAACACCTTTGATTTGCTTTAAAAATTATATCCATACAGTATAGAAAAATTCCACAATATCCAACATTTTCTGAGCAACAATGTTGATATCATACATAGTATACAGAAAACACTTTCAGAGCTGGGTATTTAGCTCACCAGCATGAACACCTACCTAGCAAGCTTGAGATCATGAGTTCGATCCCTGTTACAAAAAAAATTCAAATTTCACCTTCATGACACTGGGTCATAATTAGAGATAATCAAAATTAGATCTCAAGTGAAGAACACAGAATTCATGGGTTGACAAGGATGTGGAATACTGATTCTTACCAGACTTGGTGTTTTTCACCTCAAGGAAGAAATCATAAGACAACTTTAACTTCATGCTTACCCTAAGAACTACCTGACTTTCGGGGAAGACCCTCTCTGTTGTATATCCTGCTATTGGCACTCTGCGTCCTGCCAGTCACTTCCACATCCTTTCCATGCTCATCAGATCCACCCTAAGCAGAAAACCCTTCATGACTAAACTATTGATATCCCTGCACAATTTCAATTTATGGCATCTCCTTTACACCACTTAGTAAAGTCCACTGCAGAGCATTTCCAAATTTCAACAATGTATATGATCAACCAAGCTATTAAATCACCTCTTAATTCAGACATGACACCCATATTCCTTTCCATTCAGAAGGATATCACGTGTATATATATGTTCATGCAAATAACTAAATTTAGGCATTTTTCAATGAGAATTTAAGAGGCAGCCCTTTCTGGAATTCGTCTTAGCAAACACAGTTTACCCTGCCCTTGATGACACTTTTACATCTGCTTCATTTTACTCAAAATTTAAACCTCTATGGCTCTTCTCCCAAACATCATCTATGAGCACATGTGTCACATAAAGTATGTTCAGAAATTCTTTCCATTTTTCTCTATAATACACAGCATTTCATCCGGTGTTTGGGAAGCCTTCCTCCACTGAGGCACATCACTACACATCTTTGAATTCTCAGAACCTTTGCCTCCACCTTTCATGAGCATGGAAATACGAGAACATAGTATAAATTTAGGCGATCACAAAATACATAAATGCATAAGTTTAAGGAGAGCAGTTGTGCCTATGAGGTCCTGCATCACAGACGTTTATAAACTTCTGGCTTTCAGATCTGCTGCTGACAGGAATGAGAGCAGAGACCTAGCTTATAACAGCTGCACCCAGCTTGAAACCATATCGGAATCAGGGTCTCCTCATGCCCCTTCCTGGGCCCAGACTGTTGGAGGAGCAAGGGCAGCAGGCGATTTCAAAAATGGCATTGTGGACTGGTGGTATCACAGTGGCGACAGCGTTCTAGGGACCCAGAACTGTCCTGGCGCCAGCGAGAGGTAAAAGGGACAGAGGATGACTCACTGCTAGCAATAGAGGACCTCAGGGTCTGAGGCTAAGCACACAGGCGCTAGACAGCACAGCTGCTTCTCACCACTTGTTTCTTTTTTTTTTTTTCCTTTTCGTTTCTTTTTTTTTTTTTTTTTTCTTTTGGTCTTTTTCCTTTTTATCAGTAGAGGGGATCAAACTCATGACTGCCTGCTTTCAAGACAGGCGCTTATGCCGCTGAGCTAAACCCCCAGCCCCTCTCACCACTTCTAACTGGTCTCAATTGGATTCCACCCCATTTCACTGCTCCCATCCCATAACATCACCATTGCGTAGATTGGAGGTCTCCCAGGTTCTTTCTAAGCAGTCCACAGCGAATAGAAGCAAAAAACAGTGGTCTAGCAAACATTTAGTGCTCCCTTTTGTGCCCTGGCCTTGCAATTGACGCCATGACACCGGAAGACACCGCCTACCTTGGCCCGCCTGATTGGACAGTTCTTACAGCCCGCCTCTTCATCACTGATTGGCTCCTGCTCGCCTGCTTGCTTTCCCCACCAAGAATAATTACAGAAAAAAACCCACCCTGTAGCTGTGGATCCCCAATGAAAGATGGTGGAGGTTTCTGGAGCTGGCTGTCTTCTGGAATGTTGACCTAAGCTCGTCTGATGGGTGTTTGCACTGAAAGTCTTTACCTCAGTCCTTGTTTTTTGTCCCAAACCCATTTTATTTGAAAGTTAAAAACTAAAAAACGTGGTCCAGCGATTTAGCTTAAGCGCCTGCCTGGCAAGCTAGAGGTCCTGCATTCCATCCAAGATCTGGCTACCACAAACTGTGCTGCTATAAACGTGGGTGCTCATATATCACTGTGGTATGATGATTTTAATTCTTTTGGGGAGATACCCAGAAGGAGAATAGCTGAGTTGAGTGGGACCTGTAGACCTAGTTTGTGCAGAATCTCCACACTGATTTCCACAATGATTGCTTTACCACCAACAATGGAGAAGGGTTCCTTTTTCCCCAACAACCCCTCCAGCATTCGTTATTGCTTCATTTCTTGACAGTAGGCATTTTTTCTGGGGCAAGGTGACATATCAGTGTTATTTAATTTGCAATTGTTAAATGACTAGTGATGCAGAACATTATATCACATATTTATTTGCTGTTTCTATTTCTTCATCTGAGAACTGTGTATTTCACCTCAGATGCACATTTTTGGATTGGGTCTTTAAATCTGGGAAGTCTGAAATTTTTTAGTTTTCCGTGCTCTCAATAGTAATACTTTGAGGAACAGTTGGCAAACATTTTCTCCCACGTTGTGGGTTGTCTTTTCACTCTGTTAGTGATTTCTCTTGCTGTTAAAAAGTTTTTCAGTAGCGTGAGATTCTCACTTAATTCTCTTTGATTTTTGGTGTTCAATCCAAGTTTTCTTCCCAAAGTCTTTGCTTACATCAATGTCTTCAAGAGTTTTACTTACTCTGTCTTGCAGCAGATTGAATGTTACTGTTTTAATATAAGATCTTTGATCTATTCTGATCTTAGCTTAATACACGTTGAAAGATAATATTCAGAACATATAGAGCCAGTTTTTCCAGCAGCATTTATTAAAGAGGCTGCTTTTCTTCCAATGACTGTTTGGCACCTTTGTCAAAGATAAGATGGTTTAATCGTCTGGGGTTGTTTCTCCATCTTCTAATTTGTTCCTTTGATCTTTGGGTCTGGTTTTGTTTGTTTTGTTTTTTGTCCATACCACAACTTTTTTTTTTAATCACAATACCTTTATAGTATAATTTCAAGTCAGGGATTTGATGAACCCTATCTTTCCTTTGTTGCCCAGGATCACCTTTGCTACTCTAGGTCTCTTCTGGTTCCAGATAAATTTTAGGATTTATTTTGTGTACTTCTTTGAGATATGCTACGGGGTTTTGATTGTGATTGCACTGAATCTGTACAATAGCTTTGGAAGTATGGTCATTTTCACTATATTTAATTTCCCTACCCAAGACTATGGGATAGCTCTTCATTTTAGAATATCTTCTTCAATCTCCTTTTTGAGAGTACTGTAGTTTACACTGTAGAGGTCATTTACATCATTGTTAGATTGATTCCTAAGTATTTCATTTGGTTGGATGCTATTGTAAAAGTTATTGTTTCCTTGATTTCTCTTTCCATGAGTTTTTTATTCTTGTTTATGAAGTCTATTGATTGTTGAGTGTTGCCTTTGTAACCAGCTATATTACTGAATTTGCTTCTTAAACTAGAAGTCTTTTGGTGGAATTTTTAGGGTCTTCTAAGTAGAGTATCATGTCTTCTGCAAATAATGAGAGTTTTTTTTTCCTTTCCTATCTTTATTCCTTTTATTTCTTTCTCTTGTCTAATTGCCCCAGCTAGTTTCCATAACTATATTGAATAAGAGTGGAGATAGTAGGCATCCTTGTTTTGTTCCTGATTTTAGAGTGAAAGCTTTCAGTTTTTGCCCACTTAGTATGAGGTTGACTGTTGGTTTGTAAAAAAAGGGTTTTATCAGATTGAGATAAAGATCAGCTCCCCAATTTTTGTAGGTTTTTTGTTATGAATAGGCGATGGACTTTGTCAAAATCTTTTTCTGCATCTATTGAAATATCAAATGATTTTTGCTTTTGGATTTGTCAATACGGTATATTATATGTATGGATTTATGTATCTTGAACCACCCCTGAGTCCCAGGGAATACTTCCACTTGATCATGGTGTAAAATCTTCTTGATGATATTCTGCAGTCTGTTTGCCAGTATCTTATTGAGGATTTTTGCTTCAATGTTCACTAGACAGAATGGTCTGTAGTTCTCTTTCTTATTTGGATTGTTCTCTTGTTTTGGTATCAGGATAATGCTTGCTTCCAGGAATGAATTGGGAAGTACAATTTCCCATTCGATTTCATTAAATTTTGATAAGTGTTGGTGTTAGGTCTTCTCTAAATTTCTTATTTATCCCTGCCATTTCATGGCTACCCCTGCTTTCTTTCAAGGATCAGTGGACTCTTTCCATAATGGGCTGCAAATGTTTTGAGGATTCAGGTTCAGTCCTCCAGAAATAAAACATCCACTGATGTCAGAAAATATTCTGAGAACAGGCCAGGGTGGGACACAACACAACAAATAGTCCAAAGTCTGTGTTAGAGGCAGCAGACTTCATTTTCATGATTTTCACTCATTTCTATTAATTTTCCACCAAGAAACCCAGTATGTGAACACAAAAGGAGCACAGTTACCAGGTAAAGTGAAGACATTACATTTAAATGATAGTAATGGTCTGCAACAGAGCAAGGATGAAATAAAAGCAAGCATCAGTTCTCCAAGACAAGCTTGCTACTCATTCAGACTCATAAAAATGCTGAATCTGAAAGTGATCATATTGCCAAGCATGGGGGTGACAATGCTTGCTGAAATGGAACCAAATTCCTAATCCCATTAAACATTTCCTTCTGATGAGGCAGGGACACACAAGGACTTCACACTCTAAGTTCCCCTTGCCGTATAGTTCCCGTGTCATGAATTGGCACTCAGCTGTTTGTTGTACTCTACTCAAAAAACAGGGCCCCATGATGAAAAAATGGGGCAAGACCCCAAGATGACAAACAGGGCAAGATGTCTTTTTTAAAAGAAGCGCTTTTATTTTAGCTGGCCCAGTGAGACAGTGCAGATGGAATTTGCAAAGCTATGCAACTGAGTTAGAGTTTTGACTGATATTTGTAGTTCATTTATGATTAGCTCATTGATCATTAAGTACATAGTGATGAGAAACAGAAATAAGGTGGGCCTTTGTTTCCCTTTGCTTGAGGTCAGAGGCATTTCACAGTGGGTGGTTAGCCAATTCATAGCCCTTGGTCTGCCAATTCCAGGAACATTTGTCTCTCATAAAGGGAACAATGGTGGACACAGCATCATTTGTCTCTTACAAGGGGAACAAAAGTTGACGTAGCACACAGGTCACTAAGGTGGGGGGGATGACGCATTATAGAACAGCAGAATGACGTGGTCAATTAATTTATAACTATGTGGTTGGTGCTTGGTTACTAGGGTAATGAGCTCAGTAGAATGATAATATTACTAATAGCTATCTTTTTAAGTAACTATTTTTGGTAACTATCTTTTAATCAATTATTTTAATTTTTAGCATCTTAGTATAACACTCTTCAGGATTTTAATATTCCTAGAAGTCATATATTCCCTAAAGCCTGGTGATCCATTTGTTAACACCTTTTTGGCTTCAGAAATGTGTAGATTACTATGATTGCTTCTATATGTATAAACTGCAGCCATGTGTGTTGGAACGCATGAACCAAATCTGGTCCCTGGATCTTTCCTCCCTTAGGTTGTGAAACTGTTCTCTGGCTCCTTGACCTCATAAAAAAGTTACCTTTTCCTTTTCACTTTTGTTCCAAGATATTTATGCTTTGGAAACAGTGAAAACCAAACTTCCCTCATGGAAACAATGAGATAAAGAATATATTTATATTAAATTCTGTAGGTCAGGTATTTTGTACCTGTATAAAAGTAAAGAAATAAAGATCTAATATAATTCAGCTAGCTGTATGTTCTGAATAATCTTCCAAATGCATCAACTCATTCTTCAACTAATTATGTAAATGAGTTTTTAATCTATGAAAACCCTAACAGTTTTTTAGCATTTACCTGTTTCAGTTTGACTCCAGCAATTCTTTGGAGATCAAAACCACTTAATTTCCTGTACAATCCATTCACTGCCAAGCAGGCATAACTGGCATCTGGTCAGGAATTCATGGTTAAAACAAATGAACTGCTAGAAACACCGAGACTCATGTTACATAGTACTTAGCAAGTTGGTGGAGGCCTCCTTTATTATCTACCAATTTCACTTATCAGTACTGACTTAGAAAAGTTATGCAGAATACTCACAATGATGTAAAGAGGTGTATAATCATGCCTTCTGAGAAATCACTATAATACTCCTTAATATGTTAATAAGGTAGCATATGTTGATAAGTTAGTAATATATTTGTTGATAATAACACTTCTCTACAGGTAAAGAAAATTTACATGCAACAAAATTTTCAGGAAACTTACAGTTATCCTATCTGGAAGTTAATTTTCTGTTGGTGCCTATGCCTAAATATCTAGCCCCCAAAGAAGTGCATAGCAAAGGACCAAAGGAATGAGAAAAATGGCATTGTCTTGAGGGCAACAGGAACAGTGAAATCTTCTTCAGAACTCATAACTCTGCTAAGCAACCAGCCACCTGTCACTAGGTAGCCCATATTTAATCAGAACAAGCAAGGAAGTGAGTGGACAATGGTAAAAAGCTGAGCAGGCCCCTGGGAGAGGTTCAAGGAACCCACAGAGCCACAGATGATTCTAATTAAGAAAAACTATCCAGGAAGTCTCCTGGTGGCCTCGCCTGTGGCCTATCTTGTTCCTTGCGGTGTCTCCTCATTCTCAATTTAATCATGCCCAGACTACACCACAGCCCTG